GCTCTGCTTCCAATCCAACTTCCGGCTAATGCTCCTTGGAAGCAGCAGATGATGGCTCAAGCACTGGGCCCCTGCCACCTATAGAGAGTCCCGGATGGAGTTCTCCGTGCCTGGCTTCAGCCTGGCCAAGACCTGGTTGTTGCAGCCATTTGGGGAGATGGAAGCTGTCACTCCCTTGCTGTTGCTTTGCCTTTCAAATATATAAGTAAACCTTTCCAAGGCCTAATGAGACACTTAATTTACAGTAACAAACGAAGCCTACACATAAACATTCAAAATTGACCACATACATGAAGAAGGCTATGAACTGCCCTTGTAGAGTTTCCGGGAGTAAATGGAAAGCACAGCACGCCACTGGACTGGAAGCGGTGAGGTGGGTTTTGTCCAGTTTAGAGATGTAACATCCACACAGACGCTGTATTTCCAGAGACACAGGAAGGTGCCCTCTAGGTCCCCTTTCCGAGACCTGGCAGCGACAACCCAGGAAAGAACAGCAAGGCAGGCCCCTCGCCCTCCCAGAGAGCAGAACGTGTGCGTGAAAATGGGAGTCCTGCCATGTGAACAGGCCAGTGGAACTAAGTTTAAGAAGCCCAGACTTTGATCCAAGGGCACTTGGAAATTTAGCCAATGATCATGACATTTTAAGTTGGTGGTAAAAAATAAGTAAACAAGTGGTATTCTGACCGCTAACAGCCATCTGGAAAAGGATAAAATTAAATCCCGCATACAGTACATTCTAATTAATTCCAGAAGCCTCAGAAGTCTAAACAAAGAAACTTTAAATTTCGTTAGAAGCTTTAGGTGAATTCCTTGATGAAATGGGGGGGGGGGGGACTTTCCTAAACAAGACTCAAGGGGAAAATCCATAAAGTATTGATTTTCCACATACATCAAATTTTCCAAGAAAAGGACTGCCTGATAGCAAACTGGGCAAAAAAAGAAAAAAAAAGCACAAAGAGTCAGTAGTTCATGGGAAAAAAGAAAAGCAGCTGGCGCAGTAACCATTCTGTCCATGCCTCTGCTCACCCACAGACTGACGAACATCCAAGAGTTTGCAGCACCTCCTGTTGCTGATGCTGTAGGGAAAAAAAGCTGTTCTCATGAACACTGCTGGTCTGAGTAAAACCCAGCAGCATTCCTGTGGAAGGAAGCTGGTGTTAGCTAGCAAAACTGTATATGTTTACGTTTACTGATTTAGTAAACGTATGCAGTTAGTCCCCCTCTTGAATGCTCCCAGGTTGTTCAGACACCCAAGTGACAGAGGCACAGAACTGCTCATAAAAGGCACAGTCTGGAAACCACCAGGTATCGGTGGGGACATCTGTACAATGTCACGGAGACCCCTCCCTCCCCACAGAGGTGCAGAACAGTGTGCACCGCATGCTGGTGCATGTGTACGACTACACACCGTGGGTGTGCACATGCATTCGCTTACATTTTCCAAAAAACTCCAAGGTCAAAAACATGTGTGCCACTACCTGTATCGGAAGAGAGAGAACGAGGACTGGACAGCAATAGAAGAAACTCTTCTAAATGTACCTTGTTTTATATAGTTTTTACTTTGAAACACAACATTTCAAATAGATCCCTGTGGCTGGATGCACCTAGATGACGACATCACGGAGAAGTCTTAGGTCCTTTCAGTCTTGTTAGCAATGTTCTGTCACAATCTTGGAGCACTCGTAGGCCCTGGAGGTGAAAGCTCCCAAGTTAGTGCATAAATGTAGTTAGAAACCAAGATTTTCGTCTTCACAGCTACAAAATACAGTGGAGTAAAAGTTCCAATCTGTTTGTGTTTTGTAAAGACTTTTCCAAGAACACGGTGTTAATAAAGCTCGGCCACTCCAAGTCCCTGTGCTGCCAAGTCCTCGGCAGGGCAAGGCCCGTCACCTCTGGTGGCCACGTCCCTGGCTCTGCCGGCGCAGGAAGCTCTGCTGAGCAGCTCCCGAGGCTCGGCGTGCTCGCGCGTGTGGTGGTGTTCTCCACACACAGCTCACGGCTCTGAGGGGGCGGTGAGCCTCACTGCCTCTCTGCACGGCTCTTCTCCACTGCTTCTGAATTTTTGACAGGATTCTGAGTTGCAGTGTTAAACGGACCCAGACAATGTAGCAAGAGCGTAGACTGACGCCATTCTAGGTAACGTGTGCTTCGCAGAGCACAATCCAATCTTACTGTAACTCAGATGGCAGAAATTCGAGTGGCAGAGATGTCCCATGTTCACTTTAGTTATCCTAATTTCTCTTTCCTACCTCACAAATAACCTGTTGGTTTCTTTTAGATGGCTATTCTTACGAAAAGGAAGCAATGGAAAATTGGATCAGCAAAAAGAAACGTACAAGTCCCATGACAAATCTTGTTCTTTCTTCAGTGGTACTGACCCCAAACAGGACTCTGAAAATGGCCATCAATCGATGGCTAGAGACACATCAAAAATAAAGCTGTTTCTCTCGGATTGCTCATTTGAATGATTCAAGGGTAATTTTACTTACCAGACAATATTAAAGATCAAAACTGAAAGAGAAAGGTTAACTTACCTTGAAAATCGTTAATGTTCATTCTTTAAAATATGTGGACTAACTTCCACATCTTAACATCATTTCTGTTTTTACTCTAAAAACATCTGTACTAGTAAAAATGGTATAGAAATAAAGTTCTACTTCGTCTTTAAGTTGCAGTGTCCAAATTTATTGTTAGGTTTAGGTCATATCCCAAAGTAACTAAAGATTGGAATACTCTAGAATATGACATATTTACATACTAGTTAATATCCATGCATCTGGTAATTCTTTAAGATATTTTTAAAAAGACTGTAGCAAAATAATTATAGATGGTCCAGTTGAGCAAATTACTTCAGACCTTGTCTGGTAAGCATTTTTGTTGGATTCTTATTGCAAGATGGTACCTTTTCCTCACTGTCCAAACCTAGGTACAAATTAGGTAGTGTGAATGATCAGGAAAAAGTTGACTTTGCTGAGATGCAGAAAGGGATTGACCAGTATGAGCACTGGCATGTCCTGTTACCCAGAGAACTCTCCAAACAAGTACCCGAAATCCACCTGATGTCTGAGGAGGGATGGAGGCGACTTGGTGTGCCGCAGAGTCTAGGGTAGGTTCACTACATGATCCATGAGCCAGAGCCGCGTATTCTCTTCAGACAACCTCTCCCAAAAGATCAACAGAAATGAAGTGTGCCTGGAGATCGTCAGCTCTTTCCAAGTTCATGTATACATGTATATAAGGAAGTATTCAGTGAATACTTAAGGAGTGTACAAATACTCATCCATGCCTGTGTGTGAGCTGTATTCTTCACAGTGGCAGAGCTCAGTTAATGCAGCTGCAAGCAGTAAGGTGTTTCCTCTGGCTGGTGTCTCGGATGTAAGTGCCTGTTTGACTTCCCTGTTTTATTAAATAAAGTTTGTATGTTGCATTTAAAAAAACAAAAACCAGTCCTCACATATAATTCAAACTAGGATGACCAGACCAGGGTATTTTTACACAGCTGCTTTGATGTTTATCACAACACCCTGACAATGCCCTGAGAAGAAACTGTACAGCTGAGGAAGTTAAGGTTGTAAAGAAGGTACTTTGTGGGACCAGTGTTGTGGTGTAGCAGGTAAAGCCACAGTCTGCAGTGCCGGTTCAAGTCCCAGCTGCTCCACTTCCGATCCAGCTCTCTGCTATGGCCTGGGAAAGCAGCACAAGATGGCCTACGTCCTTGGGTCTCTGCACCCACGTGGGAGACCTGGAAGAAGCTCCTGGCTCCCGGCTTTGGATCGGCCCCGCCCCAGCCATTGCAGCCATTTGGGGAGTGAACCAGCAGATCAAAGACTTCTTTCTCTCTGCCTCTGCCTGTCAAATAAATCTTAAAAAGAAAAAACAAAACTTTGCTTTTCTGTTTCACCAGGAAAGTTTCCTGTAAAATAAAATGAGAAAACTTAGATGCCAGTAACTTACCAAACCCAAGGACCTGTTTTCATAATACAGACAGATTACAAATACATCTGTACTGCAAATGCATCAAAACGGGGGCAGGCCTTAGCCTGGTGGTTAAGATGCTGCCGCATGGCGTACGGGAGCACCTGGGCTCATCCCCGGACTGCAGCTCCCTGCTAATGCAGGCCCTGGGAGGCAGACGTGACAGCTCAAGTAGCTGAGTCCCTGCCACCCATGTGGGAGACCCGGCTCCCAGCTTTGGTCCTCCTGCATCGCCCTGCCCCCACCACTGCGGGCATTTTGAAGCATGAATCTGCAGATAGGACCTGTCTCTCCACCTCAAATAAGTTGGAAGAAGAAAATATATATATACCTTCAATCAAAATAAAAATTTCATGTTTAATAAATTCTGATACCCTGGCTGTTGTACAGGAAATCACTGACAAGAATTATGTCTTAGCTTATAACAGTTTTTCCTCCCTGCCCCATTTTTTGTTTTTAATCTTTAATAATTTCACTGTATGGTTTTAAAGTGAGACTGAAAATACTTAACACTTGCTAGCAATAGTCAGTAGACAGTAACCTAAAGTAATCTTGGGTTTAAGATTCCAAATTAGAGCTATTGTGATACCAACAGTTTGCTGTTTGCTCCCCTTCACACAACTTTGAAACTTTGTACTGTCAGCATAGACAAGTACACACTTCTAATTTCCCGATAACACGAACAGGCCGGGAACAAGCCCTCCGCAGGGTTTGGGGCTGCCAGTCTTAGTCCTGGTATTGAAGATGCACTGTTGCCAGTAAAAGATGTCAGAAGTGACAGACTGCTTCCTTCATGCTTCCCATGTAAGGCAAAGAGACTGGTCTGACCAGGCGTATTTCGGAATTTCTGAAGTTGCCACTCTTGTTCTGAAAGCACAACGTGAAGCCAACTATGCTTTTGGAAGTATTAGTACAAAATATGCTTTTCACTCTTTTCTTGAGGGTAACATGGATTAAAGCAAGGCAAACAGCTGGCACCAAGGTATTTTTCTACTTAACTGTCAAATCAGTTGATACAGAACCAATTCTATTAACAGTCTTTATTCTGGATGGAAAAGTACAGTAGTTGTGCAGAAACAAAACTACGTAACAAAAGAGTAAGACTTTCACAAATATTAAAGAAAACAATAAATAAGCCACAGTAATAGCAGACCTCACGGAAAGCTCGTAAAAAAGGGGCCGGCCACTTGTCCGCAGCACGCTGTACACGGGGCCGGGAGGCACGCCACAGTCCTGCCGTGCGAACTGCGATGCTGCTCACGGGAACGTCACCGCGACAACGCATTAAAACATTCTGCAAATATAGAACTTCCTTCTCCCTGGTTCTAGAAAATAAACTTCACATCCCAACATAGAAAACAAATACTCTCCCACCTCTTTCAAACTAGCGTTTTTAACATCCTCCAATAACACCCATTTTCATAGAAAAATACCTTTTAACCAAGGTTCATTCCTGTACCTTAACTTTACAAGTGGATAATACATCAGGTTGGACTTGCGTAGCACCTCAGAGGTGTTCGTATAATGAGATAAAGTGCCTTACTGGTACACTGCTAGCATGCCCTAACGCCATTCAGTGCAGTCCCAGCATGGGGGAAGCGGACAGAGAACATGCAGATGTGTGACTGGGGCTCTCTTTGTAAATGAACTACCTTGAAATCCTTCTATTTACAAGTCTGGAGAAAACTGGGCTACTTCATATAAATGGCATGTACCCATAAGGGAATGATTGTATGATAAGGCAGGAGCAATGACCAGCCATACCTTTTAAGTGTCCAGATTTACTGCTGTCCTTAGAGGACCGTGGAAGGCTTGCTCCAGGAGCACTGTCATTGTCCCCAGTGGTTCTGGAGCCAGGCGAGAGCTCGTCTCCAAGTGCCAGAGAACACTGCGCTTGGCACTGCCGCAAGGCCCCAGCTTGCTACCAGTCCCGACTGCAAACAGCTTCCATACTGTTCCCAATATCCAGAACACCTTGAGGCACAAATACAGCTTCAAAAAGGTGCTCTAAGTATCTTATGAAGACCCATAGGATGGAAATAAGTGTACAATCCTCTTAAAGGAATTGCTATCAAGGGATCAATACTTGCATATTCTCATATTTTGCTTTTGAAAAAAGCAAAAAAAAAAAAAAAAAACAACCCTACTATGTTTACAGTCATATTTAGCTAGAAATCACTCAGGTCCTAGTTTTATGCTCTTACATGTATAAATAAAATCGGGATCTGACTCAGTGGACTGCAACTTGAAAATTCTTTTTCAGAAGACTTTACATGGACTTTACACCATGAGTTACACCTACCCTTCTCTGTCAGTGGGCATTTGTATTCTCTAAGCAAATACTGATTTTGCCACATAGCAAAAGCTACGAGAAAAGTGATTAAAACCAAATCATTTCAGGAGAAAAGCACGAGTTAATATCTGCTTGGCTGTCTTACATTTTGAAGTTGATAGGTACAGCTAATTATTATTTTCGATTCCGTTTCTTGTTCTTATTTAAGGTGGCTTCTAGCTCTTTATAACATAAGTTTTATTCCATATTTTTAAATATATCAGTAACACTGGATTCACCCCAGAGGAAGAAAGGAAAAAAATACAGCTAAAAAGTTGTGTGTGTGTTAAACGAATGAGCCCATGGGATGCTCCGCCCCCAGGCGCACGCTGGCCTCCAGGTGCAGCGCGGGCTCACACGTTGGACTCGATGAACGATCGCTTCGGTTTGCCTGAGGGCAGGTGGCTCCTGTGTGCCTCGCCGCCAGCGTGAGGCTGCGGCTTCACCAGGCCTTCGTGATACAGGTGAGAGACGCCCTTGGCGACCCTGCTGTCCTGACAGGGGGCCTCTTCCAGCTGCTTCCCCTGCGCCCCATTGCGGACGCTGCCACCCAGTGTGGGCATTGGGCAGGCTTTGGCTTGGTTAGCGTAGGTGCCTCCGGGCTTGAGCGGGGGCTTCTCAGAGTTCGAGGCCTGCAGGCCAGCTGCAGGGGCCGGGCCCGGCAGGAGCCCCTCGGTGCCCTGGCAGTGCCAGGTGCGGTGCGTGGGGTGGCTCTGCGGCTGGAACCGGGCCGTCTTGTCCATGATGCCCATGAACGGGGTGTTGCGGGGCCTGTGCTCCGCCGTGCCACCGGGGACCTGGTGGCCAGCCTTGTCTTTCATCCGCGCGTCTGCACCTTGGACCTTGAAGCCGTCGGAGAAGCTGCTGCTTGAAGTCAAACTGCTGGTTGAACTTGACATCTTTATGCTGCTGCAGGGAGACCCCGAAGAGCCGGAACTGGCCAGGGAGGCCGCGTCCACAGCCCCCGGGGCTTTCACCTGGCCGGACAGCTGAGCGTGGTGGCTGGGGCCGCGCCGCTCCCCTCCGTGGCTACAGCCCGCGCCCGCGGGGACTAGGCCCGCTACCTCCACGTGCTGGCTTCTGCCCGCCGTGGCTGCAGAGATCCGAGGGGGCATGGGACTCGGCGGAGGGTTCTGGGGCACGCCCCTCGCTCCGGGTCCGGGTGCTGGCCGCGGGCTCGTCTTCACGATCTGCGCCTGTTTGCTGGGCTGCAGGATGAGCCCCGGCTGGGCCACGGGCTCCCGCGGTGGCTTGCCCACGGCGGCCCTGCTCTGGGGCGAGCCCGGCCGGCCTTTGGACTGTAGCCCTTCTTGAAGGTTCCGGATGTATGGCGACGGCTGGCACCTGGGCGGCGGGGAGATGGGCTCCTCGGGGGGAGACGTTTCTTCCTCTTCCACCTCCTCGAGATCGAAGCGGTCGTCGAGGCCAGCGGCCGGGGCCTCCTCTTCATTGTCCGAGTCGTTGTGAGGAGCCGGCGGCGGGCCCGGCTGTTTCTGCTGTTGGCTCCTCTGTAGCTGCTTGCACTCCTCTTCCACGCGGGCCAGGAGCCGCTTGATTTCCTGATTGTTGGGACAGAGCTTCACCGCCTCCTGCAAGTCCGCCAGCGCTGCCACGAACTGCCTGTGGCAAGCAGAGGAGACGAAACGACATGCCACGTGTGAACACGCTCCCAGGGCCACTCTGCGTGCCACAGCTGCGGTTGGCAGCAGGGACCCATTTCCTTAGCCTGGAGTTCCTCGGCTGGGCCGCTGCCACTGCAACCCCACCCACACCTGTGTGCCACCGGGGCACTGGGCACCCTAACTCAAGTGTCACCTACAAGCCCCCCTTTCCGCTTCATTCCCCAGGTGGGCAGCTCCACTGAAATGTGGACACTGGGGGCTTTATTTTGCCATAAGTCTCAACCAGCGGTGGGGAGGTGGAGTGACTGTGGGGTCAGGGGCAAGCACATGCAGCCTTGCCAGTGACAGCCACCCGCTGGCTTTGGAAGCTATTTGGCAACGAAAGGCACACGAGGCAGCCCAGGAGCCCATCTGGAGCAGGTGTGTCCTGTAGGGAAGGCTGCCCGACTCCTGGAAATACGCCCGCCGGTACCTGCTGTTTCTCTTCGCCCTCGCCCTGGCATAGAAGGCTTCATGGGACTTGGGTTTCAATTCGAGGGCCTTGGAAGCAAACTCTTCTGCCATGCCGAAGTCCTGGTGTCAAGATGGAAAGACAGGCGTCAGAAGCAACCAAAACCCCGCCAGGCAGCTGCTGCCCTGGGACTCTGCTCTAAGGAGAACGGGTGTGGGAGCAGCCAGGGGCTGAGGCCGGGGGAGGCTTCTGCTCAGCTTGCTTTACTGCAGTTAGCATCTTGTTGCAGCTTATGGATGCACCCAAGAGCAGAATCCCAGAGAGAAGCAAGAGAGACGGCCAGGGGGAGGGAGCGCAGTCTAGGCACAGCACACAGAAGGTGGGAGAGGGCGGCGTGGCCTGGCCAGCAGGTGGAGGCAGCACGAAGGTACAGAGCTGCTGGGGGAGGAGAGTGGGAAAAAAGGAGGAAGGCGGCAGCACAGGAGCAAACCCATTTGGAAGGCACCTTGGGTGGGCCACTACTTCTTGCAGGCAGGCATTTGGGGCGGGCAGCTGGTGACCCCTGCCCCATACAGAGCAGCAGTCTGCACCTGCTTCTTCTCATGGAGGCAGCAGGAATTAAACCCCAGTGCATGTCACCACGCCCACCCAGCAGCTGGCACGCAGGACAGACAGCTCGTCGGGAGCTCCGGATGTGGCCGGCACAGGGGCCAGCGAGCAGGCAGAGCGGGGTGGAGGAGCAACAGGTCCAGCTTACGTTCGTTTTCCTTCGGCAGCGGGACAGATTGAGGTAGAGGGAAACCCGCAGCTCGTTGAACGGCCTCATGTCCTCTCCGAGCCCGTCTCGGGGGAACTTCCTCAGGGCGTACTGGTACCTCTGCGCCGCCTCCTTCATCTTCCCTTTCTAGAGGGTTCAGGGTCACAGACAGGAAGGGGGCGCTTTTTCAGGGTCTGCAATAGGAGTAGGTGCCCGCTGACCCGGGGCAGGGCTCTCCCCTGCCCACCCCCACCAGGGAAGGCTGCCAACCGCCACACATAGGGCCCCGCCGCCGAGACACAAGGCCAGGCGGAGCAAGGCAGGACGCGGGACGGCAGGCACCCGCCGGCTGCCAGGTGGACGGCGGCCTTAAAGCAGCGGATTAGCTTCTCTGTTACGTGCTTCCGACAACTGTTTCAGGAATGCTGTTTCACCTGAGGATATTTTAATGCCCAGCAACACAGAAATCGGGGGAGGGGGAGGGGAGTGATGCCGTTCCTAAGGCAGTATGCGGATGAACCTAAAACCTGCTGCAGAATAATAATTTTTCTTTTCAGAGTGAAGACAGCATGGTCTTCAAAGTCAGAATAGCACCACACCCCGCTTTCAAGGCTACAAAAAATCCCAGCACTCAGCCAGACCCACTGCGCAGCGGGAAGCAGCCGTGGAAAATGGCCGGACCAGCAGACATAATTGCCGACCGGAATCCGTATGAAACCACTTCAAAGCCACACCAGCACACACTCTGAACTCAGCTTCAAACTGATTCCATGCCAGCCCCATTTATTTGTTACTATTAAATAAAGGGGAAAACCTTGCAACACCGAGCCTATAGCTGCCTAACAGCGGAAAGGATTAAAAGGGTCACCATATAGTGTTTTTTTCCTCCTAATTTTTAAATTCTAAATAATCACAGACCTGGAAGGAACAGTGATCTGTGTGAATAGCACCCAATCTATCTACACCAGTGCCGCAGGCCCTGTCCAGCCTGCCACCCGAAGTTTACTAATGAAGTTTTATTGGGACACAGCCACATCTGTCCACTCGTGTGCCTGCTTTTGTGCCCCTTCAGCTGAGCAGAGCAGCCGTGACAGAGACCACGCTGTCTGCAGTCTGGAATGTTCCCTGGCTGGCTGGTTCTGATCTGACCGCAGTCGTCTTCTGGAAAATCTGAAGCCAGGTTCATCAGTCTGTGTAGCGTTATTTCCACTCTCCCTGGGGAAATATTTAATTCAGTCTCCTGAGTATTAGATGCTACTTGACTGTGTTCAATCGAGCTGTCTTGGAGGGCTGTGAAGGGAGGATGGCCAATGGGTGACAGTGTGCAGAACAGGGGGACACATTCCGGCCTCCACGGCATGGGGTGCGTGTGGTTCACAAGAACAGAGAAGGGAGGAGCTTGGAGCCTCAAACAGAAAGCAAGGACAAGAAGAGGGGACAGGGCACTGACCCTGACTGAAATACCACAGTGTACCCCATGCATACATAGCATCACCAAGTGTCAGTCAGAAATTCTACAGAAGTGATTAAGGAAGGAGATGGAAATGCTATCCTGACTTGATGATATGTCATTGGTATATATTAAATTATCACACTGTACTCTATAAATATGTTCAATTAAAACTTTCTTGAAGTATATTCCTGGAAACAGTTTTAAATTCCAGGAGTTTCTAGATATTAAGATTCAGATAGGAAAGGCTTGGGAGACTGAACAATTCTTTTCTTCTGGAAACGTCTCCCGGGTGTTCCTTTCCCACGTGGTGGTGCCACAGGCTGGGCAGCTGACAGAAAGGATGGGCAGGGCTGCGGAAGCTCCCGCACGAGGTGCCACGGCTTCAGGAAGGAGGCCACAGCCATGGTCTCCAGGGCTGCTTAGAGTAACAGTCCCCGGACACATGGAGAGTGCTTGCCACTTTCAAGGCCCTGCGGTTAGGACATTAGACAGAGCTGGGGCAGGAGGCCAGCTCCGCCTCCCCTGCGCCTTCCAGACCACATTGTTACCCCTGGGACACGGCTGCCCCAGGGCAAGCCCGCAGGAAGAAGATGCTGGGAGGGGTGCCATCAGCAGAGAGCAGGGCGCCACCACTTACTTTGTACATCACATTTCCTTCCTCCATCAATTTCTGCAAGAGTATAATCAGAATATCAGGTTTGGAGGTGGCCATCGCCCACGCAGCATTTCCTGCAAAAGAAACACGCGTTCAGAGAAGAGGAATGGCTCTCAGGCTCCTAGGCCCCACCACGCTGCATGACACCAACACAGGGCCACAGCGTGACGAAGGCAAGGGGCAAGGCCCCGGGAGCTGGTGTGGCCCGTGACCTATCTCACGCTGCACTAGGCAGGCAGTCGGGAGGGGCCGGTGCTGGGCAAGGCTGTCCTTGTCATCTACTGAAGAAAGCAATGAGAAGCCGAGGCATCAGGGTGCTGGGGAGAGAGTGGGGCGCAGCCCCAAATGCCCTCCCTGCAGCAGCCTGCCCTCACAGTCTGCCCACCTGCTTTCAAGGCCCTGCCATCCCGCCCGGCTTCTCCTCCGCACCCCACCTCTGTCACGGCCACTGCGCTCTCCGCAACCCCTGGGGATGCGGGGGCTGGGGCACCTGGCTGTCCTTCCTGTCACCTGCCTCGGGAAGCTGTGTAGCTCCTCTGCTCCGTTTTCCCATGTGGAAGACGATGTCATCGTTACCACCTCCTTGCAGAGCTGTGGGGAGGGGACTGCAGCGCAGTGGGCGCCTGCACAGGATAGGGCGCTGCTGCCTGCAGCTGGCTCATCTCATTTCCACCACGGCTCCTGGCCCGAGGTCTCGCCTACCAGACCTAAACCCGGCCACTCTGGTCACTGCCTCGTCCACACATTTGGAGTGTGTGCCACGCTGCACCTGGCTACACAGGCGGGGCTTCCCTGCCCAGTCCCTGCCCCTGCAGTCACCAGCTCTCCTCCCAGAGACTGTGCAGGGGTCCGTCCCGCAACCCCTCCCCCCAGTGGACTCCCGCAACCCTGGAGCCACGCATCTCAGCCTGGTCTACTCTTTATAGTTGCCAGGTGAGCACTGCCAGGTGGGCTCACACATCTGTCCAGGCCAACCCCGCCCCTCCAGGCCCAACACTCCCTGGGCAGTGCTTGGGCACCTGAAGCATCTGCCACACCAGACCGCCCTTTGCCGTGAACCGATGCCTTTTCTCCATGCTGCCAGTGATAATAGCCAGCTGAGCACTTCAGAGGGGCGTGCGAGCCCCACAGACATCGGCCGTCCTCCTCCCTAACTGGCAGCAGGTGGGTGTGCAAGGCCCGGAGCTGCCCTCCCTCTCCCCGCTCTGCCGGGGCAGGTGGACTGCACTGACCCAGTTTGGCTCCTTTCCTGAGGAGTGTCACCACCACAGAGGTGTTTCGGCAGCCGATGGCTCTGTCCAGGGGACGCATCCCACTGTGGTCCACGTGCTCGATCACGGCTCCCTTCTCCACCAGGTACAGCACCTGCAGGGGAGAGCACAGGCCTTGGGTGGCAGCCGGCGCAGGTGCACCGCCCTGACTGAGCTTCACTGCCACCCCAGGTGCCTCTGGCCACGAGCGATCCTGGAACAGAAACGAAGAAGACGTGAAACACAGAGGAGCTGCGAGCCAGACAGGGCAAGCCTGCTCTGTGACGGTGACCTTGCTGTCATTGACGGGCGAAACGCCGGCTGCTGCCCCACACGTGCCCTCAGCACCACAGGCAAGCGTTGGCAGGTGTGCGGGGTGTGTCTCAGCCTCACCCCCCTCAGCAGCCACCTCCCTGCCTCCAGCTAACTGGGAGGTGGCTTCTCTGATGAGCTCCAACGTGCAGCCCTTCAGAAACACCCACACCCACACCCACACCCACACAGCCTGCGGACTGCGAGCCGCAAACGCCGGCAGCGCGGGGCCAGCTGGGCCTGCAGACAGTTCACATGAAGACTCAGGAAGGAGACCTGGAGTGTGCTGAGACTGGAAAGACGCATTTCACACCACGGCAGAAAGACTGATCCCATGTGATCAATCGCTGTCACCTGGACTGAACAGGGACTGGCAGGGGAAACCACTCTGGCCACTGCAGTTCCTCTGCTTACTAAAGTAACCCTGTGCCCAGTTTAGATGTCCACGTGGATCTGACAGGACAGGCTATCAGTCCACCAGTCAGTCACAGTTATTAGAGGGATAATACCTGGAAAATACAAAGAACTACAACTCAACAACAAAGCAACCCATTTTTTTTTAAAGATGTATTCATTTGTTTGAAAGTCAGTTATTGAGAGAGGAAAAGAGAGAGAGAACTTCCATCCACTGGTTCACCCCCCAAATGACCACAGCGGCCAGCAATGGGCCAGGTCAAGCCAGGAACTTCTTTCAGGTCTCCCACATGAGTGGCAGGGGTGCAAGCACTTGGGCCATCTTCCACTGCATTTTCTAGGCCATCACCCAAGCGCTGGATAGGGAGTGGAACAGCTGGGACACAAACCGGCACCCCTATGGGATGCTGGCATTGCAGGTGGTGGCTTTAGCCTGTAAGACAGTGCCAGCTGACAACCCAATCTTTAAAATGGACAAAGGACCTGAACACGCATTTCTCCAAAGATGATAAAGAGGGCCAAGAGGCATAGGAGATGTCCAACTTCACCAATCGTTAAGGAAATGCATATCAATTCTACAAGGGAATATCAACTCGTACCCATTAGTATAGCTGCTATTAAAAAAACAAAGTAACAAGTGTTGGTGAAGAGGTGGAGAAATGCAAACCCTGTGCCCTGTTAGTGGGAATCTAAAATGATGCGGCTATTGTGGAAGGGATTGTGGCAATTCCTCAAAAATGTAAAACTGAGAGTAGAATGAAGGACTGGCATTGTAGCGCAGCGGGTTAAGCTGCTGACTTAAATGACTTAAGTGGTGCCTGCATCCCATGTGGGCAGCGGTTTGAGTACTGGCTGCTCCACTTCCAGTCCAGCTTCCTGCTGATGGCCTGGGAAAGCAATGGAAAGTGATTGGGCCCCGTCTCCATGGGGGAGACCTAGATGAAGCTCCTGGCTCTTGGCTTTGGTCTGGGCCAGCCCTGGCCATTGAGGACATCTGGGGACTGCACCAGCAGATGGAAGACCTCTCTACAACTGTGCCTTTCAAATAAAAAAATATGACCACGTGACCCAGAATTTCCGCTTCTAGGCATAAGCTCAAAAGAACTGAGCAGGGTTGTGAGGAGATTTCTGCATGCTCACGGCAGCATTATTCACAACAGCTAAGACACAGAAGCAACCCGAGTGTCCATCAATGGATGATGTGATGAACACACAAGGAATATCACTCCGCCTTAGAGGCTGGGGCCAGGCTGGGGCTTGCAGCCAGGAACTCAATCTGGGTCCCACTCCTTGAGCCACCACCTGTTCCTCTCAGGGGTGTGTTAACAGGAAGTTGGAGTCAGTAGCAGAGCCAGGACGTAAACTCAAGGGCTCCAGTAGGAGATGTGAATGTCGTGATCACAGTCTTAACTGCAATGCCCATCCCCCCAGTATCTTTCAATCCCATTTTCCTCACATTTTCAAGTCCCCCGTATATACATAGCGGGATGCTGTTCAGCCTTGACAAAGCAGGAAATTCTGCCATGCAGTACCACAGAGGTGACCCTACAGGATGTCACGCTTAGTGAAATGGGCCAGGTATACACAGACAAACATGCATGATATCACTTGCTGTGTGGAACCTAAAAAAACTGAATCCACAAAAGTAGACAGTTGCAAGGTGGTCACCAGGGGCGGGGCGGGGCCAAGGATCAGAAGGGAAAAGAGCCATCGGTCACCGGGTACAGTCACCATTAGACACTGAAAGCTCTGGGGTAAATGGCAGCTGCATACCAGAGGCCCTGTAGCTGGACACCGTGTATCACACGCTTGAGAACGGCTAAGACAGATTTTAAATGTTCCTATCACAAGAAATGATAAATACCTGAGGGATGGACATGTTCAGCCTGGTCTGATCATTCTACAATGTATCCATGCATCCAGCATCACAGTGCACCTCATAAACACATACAATTACGACCTGGCAATTAAAAACAAAAGAAACACCAGCCAGCTAACCTAGCTTCTCCCGCGTGGAAGCGGTTTCTAAGTGATCTATGCAGGAACTCTATTTCAATGCATTACTATCAATCTGAAATGAAAACTACATGTGTGTGTGTATATATATTGACCACGTGGTTTGCAGGCAGGTACCATGAAGCGTTTTAGAGTCGACTGGTATCTTCAGTGCATCCTGGAACAGACGGCATGGCACAGAATTAGAAGACAATGCAGGGCCTCCACAGCACACAGCCTACGCTTGGGGATGGCTTCATGCCAACCCCGAAGCACGCAGTCCCGGGGCCTGTGTTTAGGTGCCAGGTGCCGGCCTGGGCACGGAGGGGAGTGAGCACCTGTTGGCACTTACGGTGTCAGCGTCACCACAGAAGGCAGCCAGGTCCAGGGGCGTGCGGCCGTTCTTGTCTGTCTGGTCTATCTCGGCTCCCTCCTCCACCAGATGCTGGACCACGGCCCGGTGGCCTTTCAGACAAGCCCAGCTCAGTGCCGACAGGCCCTCTTTGTCCAGAGAAGAAAGCGCAGCACCTGAAAGAAAAGCCCATTCACAGCGCAGGAACCTCACAGGGCAGACCCCGTGGGGCCCTGTGGAGTGACAGGCCAGTGGCGCAGCAGGCAGGGGGGCTGCGCTGCCCACCCTGCCCCTGGGAGCGCTGGAAGTCCACCATGGCAGAGCCTTTCCCAATCGTATCCCCAGGGTCCTGCCAGAGCCGGCTCTCTGACCCGCGCAAGCCTGCTCATGCAGGGCCCTGGGCAGCTACCTTTGGAAAGGAGAAACTCCACGGTGTTCAAGTGGCCTTCACAGGCGGCCACCATGAGGGGCGTCCGGCCCTGCTTGTCACTCAGGTTCACGTCGCAGCCGCGCTCCAACAGCAGCCTCACGATCTGAAAGAAAGGCTCAGGTTCAGAGTCTCCCTGCTGCATTGCACAACACACCCCCTCCACCCAACACTTTCTCTATGGGGCCTGGGGTGTGGTGGCTCCCGTGTCCTCTGGCTCGGTCGGGGAACTGCCATCTACTGCAGCACAGCCAGCGGAGAGGATGCCAATCGCTCCAGACGCAAAGAAATGACAGACACTTGGGTGGAAGGGCATGCCAAGTGCCCTGGCCTGAGCGCTGTGCACAGGCTGTACCCATCGAGGGGTGCAGTTCTTACCTGCCAGCTTAAAACAAAAATGCATACAAATTTCAAAGCTCAGATGACTCAGAAACCCTTTCATGTTGCATGAACTACAGGAGCCTGTAAGGTCTTTCTGCTGCATTCCTTTGAGCAGAATCTCTTTTCCAAAGGTACACTCCTTTTAGCACACCCCGTTCATCGCTGTATCTCCAAACCACACACACGCCAGGCAGAAGCAGTGCTCTCGAGGAGGGAGGGGATGTCAATCATGAGCAGTGACAAGGCAGCCAGAGGGCGAGCATCCCCAGGGACCTGAGCTGGCACAGAAGCTCATTCAGCAGGTGCAGGAGAATGGTGTGGGGCAGGGGTGAGGGAGCAGCGAGGAGCCCACCCACCACAGCCCCGGCACTGTGCTTGGGAGGCAGAGCAAAGCTTCCCAAAGGAGGTTCTCGGCCTCAGGAATACACCTTGAACCTGCCTGCTGGGAAGGAGGCAGAAAAAAGGAACAGCCAGACAGGCATCCCAGGCAGCCACCTTCCCAGGAGCAGCTTCCTTTAAGGGTGAGCCCAGAGTTTCTCCCGCCTCACTCTTCAGAACGTGGCCACCACGCCTTGTGTCCCTGCAGCCCTCTTGCCCCACACTAACAAATGCTTTCAGATCGCCCCATGACCTGGAAAACATGGAGGCCAGGAGGCGGGGGTCTCCGGGGCATCAAGCTGGAGTTGCTGAGGATGCACGGACTACCCCAGCCCTCTGGACTGCGAGGGGGAAAAGCCAGAACCTCGGCGGGGAGTCAGCATGGCTTCTACCAATGGAGCTGGGCGCAGTGAGCAGAGACTCCACTCCACAGTGTAAACTTTGGTCTAGAAACTTCTTACGACAGGCGTGGTAAGGCGCTCCGCGTGTGTAGCTTATGTGTTGCCTGGCGCCAGGAATGGGGTGGGTGTGTGGACAGATGCATGGCTGAACCACTGCCTGCCATTATAGACAACCTGCCATCCACAGTGAAAGTCAGCCAGGCTGACACAGCACTGCACAGGAGACAGCTGTTTTTCCCCCCACAGGCAAGCAGAACAGCCCTTCTTCTCGCTGTGCTGGACACGTGTGCAGCAGTAGCAGGCAGGTCAAGGCCAGGCTGGCCTTCCCATGTTGAGTCTGCCCATCTGATGCCCTCTGCAGCCATGGGCAGCAGCAGGGGTCTGGCCAGCCAGGTTGCAGGCTTGCTTCCAACCCTGTGGGGCTGCTGCCCATTCTGTCCAGGGCGCAAGTGGAAGCCAAGAACAGAAAGACCCAAACGGGGTTTGGGGAGCCACAGGAAGGCTCACCAGTGACCTCCAGGACCATTCTCGGCTTCTGGGACATTCAGGGGCCCCAGGGTACCTGCCAGTGCCCCTGGCGTGCGGCACAGAACAAAGGTGGGACCCCTCTCCTGTTGGTCCGAGACACGGCAGCTCCATGCTCCAGCAGCAGCTCGCACACCTCCAGCTTGCCCCGTCCCGTGGCGGCTGTCAGGGCTGAAGGAAGAGCACAGGGGAGGGCACATGAGTGCATGGTGGGCTACACGCGGCCATGCCTTCCCGCTGACAGGTAGGCTACACGCGGCCACGCCTTCTGACAGGTGGGCTACACGCGGCCACGCCTTCTGACAGGTGGGCTACACGCGGCCACGCCTTCCGGCTGACAGGTGGGCTACACGCGGCCACGCCTTCTGACAGGTGGGCTACACGCGGCCACGCCTTCCCGCTGACAGGTGGGCTACACGCGGCCACGCCTTCCCCCGACAGGTGGGCTACACGCAGCCACGCCTTCTGCTGACAGGTAGGCTACACGTGGCCACGCCTTCCCACTGACAGGTGGGTTACACGCGGCCACGCCTTCTGCTGACAGGTGGGCTACACACGGCCACGCCTTCCCCGACAGGTGGACTACACGCGGCCACGCCTTCTGCTGACAGGTGGACCACACGTGGCCACGCCTCCCCACTGACAGGTGGGCTACATGCAGCCATGCCTTCCCCTTGACAGGTGGCTCTCTGTATCCTCTACCCCTTCCCCTCCCTTGGAAACTGGGCAGGCTTGCAGGCGGCTCTCACCAGCCAGACATGGTAGCGAGCATGCCGGGCCATGACTGGGCCCAGGGCCTGGGGGAGACGCTGCGTGCTCCTCCTGGGGACTCCGGTGCAGGCTGTGGGGCAGTCCCGACAGAACTTGCCATGCCACGCTCCACCAGACACGGGTGGGGAGCAGGGCGAGCCACCCTGCCAGGCCCCACCCACACTGCACAGCCAGGAACCACCAAGTCCTGTTCTCCACAGCAGGAGGGGCAAGAATACAGCACAACACAACAAACCAGTCAGTACTATCATCCAGTATGGCTTGTTCCCCTACAGTCACACCGTCCATTTGATAATAGTAACTACCGAGCCAAGCGTGTATTCCAGCATTCCTGCCTTTCAGAAGCTCTGAATCTCTAACATGTCAAGGCTGAGGGTTAGGAAAGTCACAGAAGAGAAAAAGAGAGCCCTTGGGGTCAGCGCCGTGGCGCAGGTTAATCCTCCATCTGTGGTGCTGGAATTCCACATGGGCGCCAGTTCTAGTCCTGGCTGCTCCTCTTCCAATCCAGCTCTCTGCTATGGCCTGGGAAAGCAGTAGAAGATGGCCCGAGTCCTTGGGCCCCTGCACCCACGTGGAAGACCTGGAAGAAGCACCTGGCTCCTGGCTTTGGAACGGCGCTGCTCTGGCCATCGCGGCCATTTGGAGAGTGAACCAACGGAAGGAAGACTTTCTGTCTCTCCCTCTGTCTATAATTCTACCTCTCAAATAAATAAATAAAAATCTTAAAAAAAAAAAGAGGGCCCTTAAGCGCTGGGTGAATCTGCTGGGGTGCCATGGGGCACTGTGGGGAAGTTTGTGAGGCTCGGAGGGGAAGGAAGAGCCAGGGTCCTCATACCCCCCTCACACTGGGGTCCCAGCCTCCCCTTGCCCTGATTATCAAAGAGGGCAGGTCGGGAACACAAGGGGTGCCACTAGAACAGGTGCTTGTGCTGGGCTGGCAGGGACGACCCCAGGTGGGACAACAGCTCTACACTGGGGTGAGCGGACACTCCTCAGGAGGGGCGTGCAGGAGCCCAGGAGGAAGACGGGGTGGTGCAGTGGAGTGTGAAGCTGGGGCTCTGCTCCCGGGGCCTCCTGGGAACAGCTCTGTTTTGAAACGCAGCTTCCAAGCCACACATGCCCATCTTCAGGAAGACACTGGGACAGACCTCTCAGGCTAGCACGGGCAAACACAGGGACAGGCCCCTCACAGAAAGGGAAGCCCAAATGCCAACCTCCTCAGCAGTCCAGCCATCGGGAAAGGGAACGGTGGGGATCCGCCTACTCTGCTGGTGGGAATGAGGGCGGGTGACTACTCTGAAGAGCAGGCAGACTCCAGCGCTGCCTGCGGGGTGCACGCGTCTCATGGCCGGGCAAGCCGACTGGCAGGCAGGTGCACCACAGGCACAGGCAACAAGGCTCACGGCAGCCCCAAGCTGGAAGCACCCAGAAGGCCTGTGGCCACAGAGCACATCAGGAAACTGTGGTACAGAAGAGAATTGCTCATCAGTGAAAACAAATGCTGTGCAGCCAAATGCCACAGTGTCATCAACTCAGTATTCAAAGAAACAAAATGCAAGACAATACACACAGAGTTCAAGACACGGCACTGCTGGGGCTCCTTTTACAAACAGTGGGCCTGGCGCAATCTCCTGGGCACCCAGCAGCTTGGAGTCACGTGCTCAGGAAAGCTGATCCCCACAACCACGTGCAGCAAGGCCCACCTGTCCCCCGCGGGCCCCCCAGGACTGCTGGCCTATGCCTGCTCCCTCGGTGCCCGCAGGAAAGCCTGCTCAGGCTGGGAGTCAGTGCCTGACCTCCAACTCTTCTGGGTGACCTACTCTAGCTTCCAACCCAGGGATGGAAATGGGACACCAGTGCCTAACCTCCTGGGACCAGCAGCAGCTCCACAGGGACCAGAGTCTCTGAGGACAGTCCTCAGGTCCCAGGGTCGAAACTTCACCTCATCATGTGCCACAGGGAGGCACCCACAGTACGCCTGAGCGCTGCTTCCAACCTGCAAAGGGGAAAGACGCAGGCCTTGGGAGAGAGCGAGGGCACCGGGCAGCCCTGAGCCTGGGGTCCTGGGACATCAAAGCCCAGCCAAGGAAGGCGGTGGGGCAGGTGCACTTTCTCCGTCCTTCCACAGGGCAAGTCGGCTCTCGCTGTGCTTGTGGTCCTCAGTCCGTGTGAGGCAGCGAGTGGGGACCTCAGCAAGAAAGGGACTGTGGCTTCACCCGGGACAGGCGGCGAGGTACAGTCTGCAGGCCTGGCCCTTTCCGAATGTTCCACTCCCTGTCACTCACCCGCTCCTGGACTGGGGTAGGTTCTCCCTCAGGAGAACACAGTGAAAACACAAAAAACACACTGAAAGGGATCTGTCCTGACTCATGACTTCACTCAAGGGTGTGGTGGTGGGGGCAGGGGAGGTCACAAATGAAGAGCTGACTCCAGACAGCCCCAGCTGAGGGAGCCAGCTTCTAACTGGCCAAGAGCAGTCCCCATCCAAAGCGGCTGGCGTCTCCCATGAGGACTTGCTCTCCTCAGCTCCTCCCCACCCTGGCACAGCACTGTCCCCTGGAGCGCTCTAAGTAGCTGGTACATCTGGCTAAGGTCCTCATGAGAAGTCAGGGCTGGCAGTAGCGGTGTGTTCGGTGAGTTCCTGGTGCAGGTTGCAGAAGGCCTATAGACCAAGGTTCTAGAACACAAGCAACCCCAAGGATCAAGGACACAGGACAGGAGGCATGAAGACACAGTCTGGTCCCACCTGCTGTGTGGGACCCTGACAAACCTGCCAGCTCTCTGGGCCTCTCAGCACCCACATTTGTAAAGCTGGAGTCCTGGTGTTTAATTCTGATTCCATTCTCTCAATGCACCTAACTATTTAAAAGTTTATGACAAGTGCAACACTGAACCATCCCAACTGCCGTTACTAAGTTTGAACACTCTGAGGCCACCCAGTGCATGAACACAGCTGGCCCAAGTCGCCGGTCATTGGGCAGTGACCATAACAATGCTTTTCCTGTCATCTGTCTCATCCCAGCATTCCTTGTCTAGGAAGAGCCACAGTAACAACAGCTGCCATCTGCCGCACTGATCTGGGTGGACGCGGACCTTCTGCAGACGGTGTGACGGGGGCAGAACACGGAAGGGACGTGGACGCTGCAGCAGGTGCCATTCACACGAAGTCCTGGTCCTTACCGAGCACACATTTAATCTTATAAATAAACGGTCATTAACAGTTTTGATGCCAGTTTTAGAAACTGATGGACGGGGGGAGATTCCTGTATGCAAAATGTTTGCAGACCAGTGGCCTAGGTGACCTTGTCCATGCTAACCGAGTCTATACAGGCCAGTCCCAGCAGAGTTGCCATGGCACTATTAGCCTCTGTTCCTGCCAGGACAATGATGGGGCCTGTGATACTTATACAGTGGTAGAGGTCAGAACACGCTACCCCAAAACATGCCTTTTTGGTATAAGGATTGTTTGGCACTGATAATTTTGAGAAACTGCAGACTTAGAAGCAGAAGCATATGTGTTGGGGGTGGGGGGTACAGTGGCTAAGCTGCAGCTTGGGACACCTGCACCCCACATCAGAGTATATGGACGGAATCTTGGCTGTTCCCCTTCTGATCCAGCTCCTTGCTAATGCGTGCCTTAGGAGGCAGCAGGTAATGATGGTTCAAGTACTTGGGTCCTTGCCACTCACAGGAGAGGCCTGGATTGAGTTCTAGGTACCTAGATTTGTCCTGGTTCAGCCCTGGCTGTTGCAGATGGAAGAGCTCTGCCTGTCTGAGAAACAAAACAGAGCTGGAATTACCCTCATGGGTGGGAAACTGTCATCTCTGAAGGAAATCTCCACATGAAAGGGTCTCTCTCTGACTGCATCACCAGAGACCTGACCAATGGAGCACCAGACTCACCAACCTGCCCCCGCTGACCATGGTTTTCCTGGATGCTCGCCCATCACCAGCCTCCACACATCCTTCACCTTGGTTTCAGAGGCGGTGGTATTTAAGCTGAAGTCAATGCCACCTCTCTGAGATCTACTCACTTCTCTGAGAGTCTCCTACTTATACAAAAGGTATTCATGGGGCCAGCATTGTGGTGTAGTGGCTAAAGCCACCTCCTGCAACACCCTCAGCTCATGTGGGTGCCGGTTCCTGTCCTGGATGCTTCACTTCTGACACAGCTTCCTGCTAATGGCCTCGGGAAAGCAGCAGAAAAAGGCCCAAATGCTAGGGCCCCTGCCACACACAGCAGAGACCTGGACAAAGCTCCTGGATGCTGGCTTCAACCTGGCCCAGCCCTGGCTATTGTGGCCACCCAGTCAGTGAACCAGTGGATAGAAGATCTGTCTCCTCTGTAACTCAACACATCTTTAAAAAAAAAAAAAAAAAAAAAAGCCAGTACTCATGTT